ATTATCATGTTGCCAAAATGTTTAGAAGAATACAAAATAAGAGGTGTGCTATGCAGTTTGGAATGATGCGGTTTAAGAATGTCTTTTTAGTTGGATACGGATCCTCTGCTCTGATTTTCTCTGACATGATCTGCTATATTTTTGTTATCCATACGACACCTCATTCAAATTTAATCTAATGGATTTACAAATTGACACATCATCCTAAAACAAAAACCCAATTTACTCCTAATTAAAAAAGGAAAAAAAACCCTAACACCCAACTAACGGGATGGTTAACGTCCAAAGTTGTTTTTTTGCTCCTTGCTTTAGTGTCCTCTTCTCTTTTTTGAGTTCTTCCTTACGTTCTAGTTTTTTTTTTTCCCTCTTAATGTCTATGCCCCAAAATCAATTTTATGGAGTATAATTGGCCGGATCCAATCATCACCAGACAAAAGCTTTGAGTTTGTTTGATTGTAATTACCGATGGCTCATAGTGAAGGACTGGATGGATTTTTGAATTTACAGGCCTAAAAAGAAAACCCTCGGGAATAATCAGTGCCATCTAAAATTTGTAAAGCATTTTGGCTTCCTCCAGCACATAGTCCAAGAAAAATTTAATCATCAGAAAATAAAGAAATCACCATCAGAAAAAAAAATTACATGTCATCCTGGTGGACACAATTGAGACCATGAAAAGGAAGGAAACCCAACCAAACATGATTCCATATTTGATTCACTGTGATTAGCATTTCATCATAAGAACCTTGCTTATCCTTTAGTTCCTTAATTTTCGCTTCAAGATCTTGCAAATCATGCTTCTATTTGTCTATTTGCGGAAGAAGTCTCTGGTTCTGGTACTGGAGAACTGCTGCATCGACCTGGGCACGTATAGTACGTACACAAAATACAGATTACTTCCTATCAATCAAACAAACTCAAAGCTTTTGTCTGGTGATGATTGGATCCGGCCAATTATACTCCATAAAATTGATTTTGAGCAGAGACATGAAGAGGGAAAAAAGAAACCATAACATAAGGAAGAACCCGAGAAAGAGAAGAGGACACTGAAGCAAGAAGGAGAAAAAAAAAAACAACTTTGGACGTTAACCATCCCGTTAGTTGGGTGTTAGGTTTTTTTTCCTTTTTTAATTAGGAGTAAATTGGGTTTTTGTTTTAGGATGATGTGTCAATTTGTAAATCCATTAGATTAAATTTTAATGAGGTGTCGTATGGATAACAAAAGTATAGCAGATCATGGCAGAGAAAATCAGAGCAGGGGATCCAAATCCCTTTTAGTTACCATTACCTCTTTATCCAACTATTAATATGTTGACACATTGTTAAATAATTATTTAATTAATTAATTTTAGAAATCAGTTGGTACGGGTTTTTATTAGTTTGGACTTCGAGATATTCCGATTCCACCCGATCCTTTAACCAAAATTTTCGGTTCAGATTAAATCAAACTTTACAATAAAGAAATTAATTTAGAAACTGTTAAATTTATCGGTTCATGCCGGACGTCAAATACCAACATTAAAATCAAAATTTTCTTTTAAAAAAAAATTAAAATCAAATTTTAATGTATTTTTATGAAAAAGCAAAACAATTGGACTTTAATATTTCGATTGGAGCGAGTCTCAACTACTTTTCTACATCTTAAAAATGCCATTTGACACTTTCTTTAAAAGAAATTAACATACCTTGAAACTTACAATAATAAAAAGTTGTGCCTCAATTCTTATTCTCTCTTATCTCTTCCCTCCCTCCACCAATCCCCAAAAAACGTTATTCAATATCGGTATATCTCTCCACTTTAGATGTGATGTATTCTTCTTCTTCCTTGCCTAATTATTTTCTATTTACAATGAGCTCTCTAAATCACTGTGTTTACAAAATTTAGGGAGAAATTGAAAAAACACAACTTTAACCATACTCCCTATCCACCTCTAGTGGCTCATTATAATTTAATACTGCTTTATTTTAATATTATCTTCATTATTTATTTAATGTTAACTATTATTTATTGTTATCAAATATTTATAACTTCCTAAACTATGAAGTATGATTGGAGTTGAAATTGTACTTAGCTTTCTAGTTTTTTTAGTTACATTTTAACTGAAAATTATTGAGTATGAGATATGCTTCAATTATTTTCCTTTCTATAACTCACCAACAAAAAAAAAAAAAAAAAAAAAAAAA